TATGTATGACACATAGAAAAGTTTGGGGCTTCGTAGTATGATTTTTTTATACTTCAACCTCGGTCATGCAAGTCCTTTCCATCAGTCCTTTACTTTTTCTACAGACGTGGCATCAACTATAATAATTTAAATATATTCCATATATCGAACACATGAACGCAATTTTTCTGCAGTCGGATATCGCCTTAACAAAGATGTAGAGAATTAACGTACCGAAAGAAAACCGCTATCTGTTTAATTTTAAAAACAATTTTAAAAAAACACGTAAAATTAAAAAGAATTATTTACCATGTTTTTGCAGAACAAATTATATCAATTTAATGCAAATGCTTTCGTTGAAATGATCATAAAAAAAGATTAATGTCAAACAAAAAGTATAATCGCTTTTTAATTATATTTTTTATTAAAGCCTTTTAATACTTTTAATTGTACGTTTTCTCATTTAAATAAAAATCCATTAGACCTTTTTTTTAATGAGAAGTCAATAAATTCCCTAGTACAGGCGCTTCAACTTTCATTCTTAAACAATGACGACCTTGAAATCTAAGCAAACTGGATTTGCACCGGAAATTTCCGTATAACTCACACAAAAAAATATACATATATAAAAAAAATGGAGAAATTGATCTGAAAGTCTACAAATTGAGATGAATATAGGAAATGTGACAAATCGTTAAAAACGTGGAGGAAGCAGAAAATTCGGGAAATAACAGATACACTATTTTATAAGCCACTCATGTTAGATATGTGTGTGAGTATTTTTTTCTATTTAAACGCACGTGACTTAATAATGATTAACGATATTCGGGAAAATGCCCGCAGAACGTTAATCATATTTTTTTCTAACTGGCAACAAGTGGCAGAAGTAGAATTACTGGTTTTTATAAGGTCATCACTGCGAATTTAACCATTAAAAGTTCATCGCTATTTTTTTGCAATAAAAACAAAGACACTGACTTCGTTATAGAGTTTGTTCAGTGTGATTAGAAGAACGCTGCTAAACTCGTGCATATCACGACTTAAATCTGTCTACGTTTTAGCAGTAATTTTAATTTCTTTAAAATAATGTATAACTATTTGAAATAAAAAAAGGTTTAGGGCAGTAGCCGATGGAGCGTCTGACTGTATGCCACTCTAGAAGTTCTGACTTCGAACCCCCTTATAGCCTTAGGAATTTTATTTGAGGTTAATTTGAAAAAGGTTTTCTAATGTGATTCTGACCTCTCGTCCACCGGATCCAAGTAGTTGGGCGTAAGGTCTTCATGTATGGCAGGAATCAGAGATCATGATAAACAGAAAGATAGAAGGATTGAGAGCAAGGCAGAGAACCAGAAAGACAAGTGAGGGGTGTAAGTGCGAAAGAAAGAAAGAGAGAGAGAAAGATATAGTAATAAAGAAGGATGTTGAACACACATTCTCAACAAGATTGACTTTTATATTAAAAAACCATTACCGCATTTTTAAAACTCATAATTAATAACTAATCGGAGAGAAGGATTGACAACACGTAGATAAAATTGCAAGGTAGACAGCCAAGGATATATTGAAGGATTTATTGATAAAAGGGTTAATAAATAAATAAAGACAACTATAATTGTAGATAGGTAAGCAGAGAAGTGGTGAGAAAGAGAGACAGAGACAGACGGATAGAGGCAAAGATTCAGAGAAGTTAAAGGGGAAAAGATTGAAAGTGAGAGACAACGAAAAAGATGTAGACAGAGAGAGAGAGAGAGAGAGAGAGAGACGTAGAAAGATAAAGAAATAGGCAAAAAACAAAAAAAGGAACAGTGAAGGGAGAACGACTGAAGAAGAGAGGATGCGTATATTTTAAGTAAAATAATTATACACATCATTAGGAAAGGATATAGAGAAAAAGAGAGAGAGAGATAAGAGCGAGTGAGATATGAAATATCGAGAGAGGAGGAGACAGAGAGCGCGAGAGAGTGAGAGAGAGAGAAAGAAAGATGAAGTTCTTTAATTAATATCACAGGTTTCGGTTAAATTTGACAGACAGCTTAAAAGAGACAATGCGAGAAAGAAAGAGAGACAGACAGACAGAGGCAAAGATTCAGAGAAGGTAAAGTGAAGGGAGAAAGAGGGAAAATGAGAGACAACGAGAAACATGTAAACAGAGAGAGAGAGAGAGAGAGAGAGAGAGAGAGAGACGGAGAAAGATAAAGAAATGGGCAGAAAGGAGTAGTGAAGGAAGAAAGACTGAAGAAGAGAGAAAGCGTACATTTTAAGTAAAATAATTATACACATCATTAGGAAAGTGAGCGAGTGAGATATGAAATATCGAGAGAGGAGGAGACAGAGAGAGCGAGAGAGTGAGTGAGTGGGAGAGAGAGTGAGAGGGAGAGAGAGGGAGAGAGAGAGAGAGAAAGAGAGAGAAAGAGAAAGAGATTGAGTGCTTTACTTAATATCACAGGTTTCGGTTAAATTTGACAGACAGCCCAAAAGAGACAGTGTGAGAAAGAGAGAGAGAGATAAGAGCAAGTGAGATATGAAATCTCGAGAGAGGAGGAGACAGAGAGCGCGCGATAGTGAGTGAGAGAAAGAGAGAGAGAAAGAAAGAGAGAAAGAGATTAAGTTCTTTAATTAATATCACAGATTTCGATTAAATTTGACAGCTAGACCAAAAGAGACTGTGTGTGTGTGAGAGAGAGAGAGAGAGAGAAAGAGAAAGAGAGAGAGAAAGAGAAAGAGAGAGAGAGAGAGAGAGAACGAGAGGGAGAGAGAGAGAAAGAGAGAGAGAGAGAGAGCGAGAGAGAGGGAACCATGGTGGGATATTTTTATTATTTTTCACACAAGAAAGTAAATTTTTTACACATTAAACCTCAACACCCATAATGATTAATAACTTAGTTTCGAAGTTTACAGACGCATTAAGGTGAAAGGATTGTACACATATCAAGATCTATACCGGCCCTCGATCAAATTTTCAGTCTTCATTGTCATTAACAAAAAAAACTCGAAAAAGGGAAATCCTGGATTTGATAGAGTCGACGACCTCGAAATTTCCAAGGAAAATTTTTTGTCTGCACTTTGAGTTAACTTTTTGTAAAATCGTTTTCCAAACAGTACTTTCAGTCATAAAACTTGTTAATTTATACAATTAAATTGGTATCAATTTTTTTTATTAGGTTTATTTATTAGGTTTTTCTAGGTATTATCTTTGGGTAACAATTTTGTTGTAACGTACGATTGTCATCACTCCCGATCGGTTTGGCTCTATAGATAACCAAAAATGCAGAAATGTAATTAGCAGTTTGAAGCATCATCAATGATTAATGAATAGGAAATTTATTAAAATTATTTATATATGGGATTTAGGCTGTATGTCCAAACTTACCCTTTAAGACACCCGTCCGTGGATTACCCTTACTTTTATTTCTTCTCATTCTTCTAAAAACCGTACGCACGATATATATTAAATCAACAGGCCAAAAAACAAAAGCCGGACCTGGTAGAAGTCAAGAGGCCCGCGAAGAAATGGAGGAGGAAAAGGACGCCGGACTTTGGAGGGGTGAAGATATAAAAGCTCGGCTCCGCATCCAGCAGGATCAAACAAAATGTCACGATTGGCCGTTTTGCTTATCGCCTTCGCTGCCCTCACCGAGGCGGCAAAACTTCGTAAGTCTCATCAATTTGTTGAACGTTTATAACGTTTTTCATCTCGGTGGTAAAATATTTTCTTGACCCTGTTCCAGCCAAGTCATGGAAGGTGTGCCGGCGGTCTGACTCCAAGATGAACGAGTGCCTGAAAGTGGCAACGAAAAACGCAATACAAGACCTCAAAAACGGTGAGCTACAAACATAAAGCAAAAAGTTCTTAATATTAGATGACAATTTAAAGATTTATTGACATCCATCAACCCTCTTATCGATTACAAACCTGCTTACATTTTTTCCAGAACCTTAGTCGTTATATTACAACCACATAAAGTTCATTTATATTTTAACAATTTTCTACTAGAAGATTTCCAAACATCTGTTTTTTTTTTATATAGTAAAATTTTCGGAATGTTTTGTGCGTGTATGGATGCATGTTTTTTCGTACATCTACGGTCTATCATTCATGACATAACTATATTTTCGTAATGTTTAATCTACCTGCTTCTCAATCAAAATGGCCATTTGGTTCTAAGCTTTATTAATTGTTTACTACTGACAGAAAGACCTCAAAAAACCTCATAAACGGTGAGCTACAAACAAAAAGCAAATCATTTTTGAATTTATTAGATGACAATTTGAAGATTTACATTGACATCCGTCAACCCTCTTATAGAATACAAACCTTCTTATATTTTCTTCGAGAACCACAGTCGTTATATTACAACCACATAAATTTCATTTATAGTTTAACTATTTTCTACTAGAAGATTTCCAAACATCTGTTTTTTTCTTATATAGTAAATTTTCGGAATGTTTTGTGCGTGTATGGATGCATGTTTTTTCGTACATCTACGGTCTATCATTCATGACATAACTATATTTTCGTAATATTTAATCTAACTGCTTCTCAATCAAAATGTCCATTTGGTTCTAAGCTTTATTAAGTGTTTACTTCTGACAGAAAAACCTCAAAAAACCTCATAAACGGTGAGCTACAAACAAAAAGCAAAAAATTCTTGCATATATTAGATGACAATTTGAAGATTTACATTGACATCCGTCAACCCTCTCATAGAATACAAACCTTCTTATATTTTTTTCGAGAACCTCAGTCGTTATATTACAACCACATAAATTTCATTTATATTTTAACATTTTCTACTAAATGATTTCCAAACATTTATTTGCTCTGGTATTGTAATATTTTCACAATGACATTTATATTATTTGTGCGCGTATGCATGCGTGTTTCTTCGTGCATATAAGGTCTATCATTGGCCTAACTATATTTTCATAATATTTAATCTACCTGCTTCTTAAATAAAATGTCCATTTGATTCTAAGCTCTTTAAGTGTTTATTACTCATAGAAATTGGTGAAGACATGAATTAAAGAAACATTGAACTGGGATTTATTTTAAAATAGTCAAATTTTTATGACACAAAGTTTTATGAAAGACAAACCACTTACCATTTGACATCTTCAAATTTTTACAATATAATAAATAACAAGCACTATGCACTATAATAAATAAATATATTTTCATAATAATTACCTTGTATGTTTGCTTGTAAGCCATGCTGTTTAAAGCTGCATCCCTAGAATATAGAAATAAGTAGTAAAGTAAAGAAATTCCTTTCATAAAACTTAACGTCCCAACTACCAACATGACGATGAGTCAAACTACTTTACAATACATTTTCACATAGGGACGAATCTTTAGAGTATAAAAGTCCAGTTTGATAAATAAGCGCAGTGATAAATAAAATGAAAACGAAAGAGAAGGTTGCCATTTTAAAAAGTCTTTTAAGAAAAAAATTAAGCCTATGATAGGTATTGTAGATAGCTAGATAGAGGTAGATAGATATATAGATAGGGAGATAATGAGAGAGATAGAGATGGAGTTAGAGATAGAGATGGATACAGATAGATAGATAGGGGGAGAGAGAGAGAGAGAGAGAGAGAGAGAGAGAGAGAGAGAGAGAGAGAGAGAAGTTGAAAACATTTTGAACAATTTCACAAAATTAATAAGCAGACGTGCTTAAAAAGCAATAACAGATTCATTCACAGTATTTACATAGAAGGACGAGGATACATTTAAGTTTGATAACTTAGAAATCAGAAACATAATTTCATAGGTGAGAGAGTTGTCGTTTTAAAAGACGTATATTTTCATCGAAATTAAATTTTTGCAATACATATACTGTATTTGTATCGGTTTGTAAATACAAACAAGATAATTTAAACTGGCAGATCACGAAATGGATGAAAAATGTTTACGAGGATAGATACCTAAATAAAACCAGTTTTTACCCAATACCTTTCTAACTGCTCAATGTTCTGAAATTCAATTTTTTCTAACAGACAGTTGATTATATCCTCATTAAATTGTACAAAATTTTGTAAATTTTATATTTATATATGCTAATCAGTAATAAACAAATACATATTAAACTGCCTACTTTGGACTATTGCAGTTTAAGACTATTATATGTTTTGTCAAGTTTCTCTATGGCTTAGGTTTTGGTTATTAGTAAACTTACGTTTTATTTAAATTAGCTTTAATTTCTTTTAAAATGTATTGTCAAACTAATTCAAATCATATTTACTCTTCACTGGTCTGAAAGTATGACAATTTTTGTCTTTCATCTTAATAAAGACTTTAAGAGTAATCACACGTGTTTCGTCACCAGGCATTTTTCTTAAGAACAAAAACAATTGTTTATCTACTTATATTAATTGAATTCGAAACAATATCCACCTAACTGTCAAAACAAGTTGTAAAATAAATTATTCCTTCACGCATACAGGAAAAGTTATTCTGGAATACATTTTCGATCAGATCGTTATCGGGCAAAATTACGGACTCCCCTTCCAAACCAGTGCAACAACCGATTTTTTAATTCTTTTTCCAGTCCTTGGATCAACTTGAATCAATAAAATGTATTTTTTAATGGACAGCTTCATTTCAGAATACTAAAAAATTGTTTTAGCAAGAAAAAACACAACAATTAAAAATAAAAATTCAAAAATTGATCCTGGCAATTTTGCTTTTAGCGAACTTTTTTTAAATTATTATAAATATTATATTAAATATTGTTATTGCTATTTTGTATTGACTTCGGCTCTTTACTTTAACCAAATGCCTTTCATAATTTCAATTTCGGAAAATAAAAAGCTCTGAACACATTAACACTGATGATTTTACTAGATCTGTCTATTCTTGTTGATTTACGTTACCATCCATCCATCATCAGTGAGAAACTCCACTGTATGAAAATTCCTCATTGAAGATGGCATGAAATCAAAACGCGTTTGAGCGAAACCCAGTTTAAGTGAACAGTGTCGACCCGTTTAAAATAATTATCTGTCTATATATATTTCAATATTTTGATAGCATCTGCTTTCCAACTAATGTGGAAACTATGTAATCATTTGTGGAAAAGTAATATTTAATAATGCTTTCTAATAATTGTTTTAATCCAGTGAAAATATATATTTACATCCTACACCTTCAAAATACAATAGAAAGAATAGTTAATAGAGTTGTTTTTAATTAAATCTTTTTATTTGTGGCAATTTTTGGTTCGTATCCTGGCAGAGTGCATGAATTTATTTTAAAATTGAGAATAGTATGAAAAAATGTATTGAACGGACAGACTCTTCCTCCTCGTCTCTCTAGTATTAGTAGGCAATACTTCATGTTTTAGTTTTATAATTATTTGCGTTTTTTTAATGGTCAATCCTGAATTTGACTTAAAGCATAAATTATTTGTATGTGAAATTATACCAAATTTTGATACATACAAAAATAATACTATGTGCATTTTTTACCAACGTTATTGAAACAAATTATACAGCAACAAAAATAATACATCGTTCTGACATTCGCAAAATTAATTTGATCTTACAGTGAAGTTGAAGAACAGCTACTTTTGTTAATTAATCTATGTAATAAAATAAAAACAATTTTAGATCAATTTGAAGGTGCACAAGAGAGATGACAATTTAAATAAGTTTCTGGAGTTGTCACATTATAAATTATGAGAAAAATATAAGAGGAACGATATAAAAACACAATTGAACTACATAATTTTATTTACTAAATGATTGTAATAATTAATATTTTGAAAGCCTAACTACATCATAACTTCATCTATTTCAAAATTTTCGAAGTGTTCTGAATACAAATATATATTTAAAGCATAGAATTGAATATTCCATAAATAGTGGCAGCGTCTGTTCGTATCTTTTTCATAACGTATGTAAAGTGCAGTTCTTCTAAATTTTGTTTTTATTTGATGTTAATACAGGGTGGATTTTTTTTCTGCCAATACCATGACGTTCTACATGAACATAATAACAATTTGGTATCATACGTTGTAAAAAACTTGAGACATTTTCTAACATAAAAACATCAAACACATCCCTGATCATACATCAAAAACTGAAGAATAGATTATCATCAGACTGCCTCTTTCAAAAAGTTGTGTAAAACCTCAGACTTATAAATAGATACAATTTTATAATTATCTAAATTAGATTTGTTGTTCACATTGAAGGTAATGCCTCTTGTTGTTGGTAGTTAACTCTTCTACAAAACCCCCCGTTGAATTGTGCAAAAGTTTTTTTTTCTTTTTTCTTAACGAATCGGTTAGAGACGGGAAAGCACAAATTCATGCAGCTGTAAAGCTCTTATTGCAATTTAAGCCATGTATTTCTTCACTTAATTGAGCTGGTACCTCGAGCTGACATTTTTTTCTTCTCGTCACTGCCCTTATTGCTCAGACAGTCAGCCTTGACAAGTTCCCCCTGAACTTCTATTTCGTATGCGCTCAAATTAAAAGACATGTTTAGTGTCGAAAGTCCGAAAATTTTCGTAATCGTCCCTGAGCCCCGGCCGCGCATTCCTCGCACTCCTGTCGTACGTAATTGCAGAATCATCGGAGCCGTAAAACCATACATGAAAAATGCCGTTTATCTAAAATAAATAAACTCTTTTTCGTTAATTCCCTTTACCCAGAATCTTTTAATAAAGTAGAAAAGATCGATTATAAAGCAGAGTACATTGTTAACATGAGAATAGGGATTGTAAGGACCTGGGAGTAATAATAAGTAGCAAATTAAATATAAAAACGAACACTGGATCAAGGTATGGTCTCGAAGAAAAAGTCAAATTCAGTTGTTACTGCTAAGTTTTCGACCTATTTTAAGGTCATCATCAGGGCAAAACAATCTTAAAGATGTCTACAGATAGACATATTTAGGTTTTTATAGACGATTTAAAATTTCCTTGAAGGCCGACTCAATCCTAACATTGCCAAGGACTGTGCTTAAATATAAAGACAGATCTAAAAGATAAATTATTCAGAAATCTTGAGATGCGGTCTGGTGTGATGTAGGTTTCAGAAAAAAAATTTCTTTATCGTGCCAACGTTTCGATCTTTATTGATATCATCTTCAGGGCCTGGGATTTACAAGCATTGTTTAAATTCAACAAAAACATGTAGGAGGTGGAAAAAAGTGAATTTATACAAGGCAAAAAAAAAAATTTTTTGATATACAAAAAAAAAATATCTACACACACAAAAAGTGTGTGTTCTCCGCAGAAGTACAACAAAAAACAGACTAACGGTCACTAATCACCACAAACTTCTACACTAAAAGATAAAGTAAAAAAGCCATATATGGGTATTTAGGAGAAATTTTTTAATGAGAAATGATATCCCATTATTCTTAAAACAAACGTATACGAGGCAATTGTTAGAAATATTGTGGTGCACAAGTGATCTAGTGTGGAAGAAATGGAAAAATTTCAAAGATTTTACTTTTAAAATTTATATTTTAAACCTGAAAAAGACATAAAATAATAAATACATATATACGTATATTTAAAATACATCTAGGATATCTACAAAAAAAATACATAAATACAGCGATTGCACTATAATTGCTAAAGAAGTTGTTTTAAAAAATATTTCCTGCTACGAAAAGTTAAATGAACTAGCAGGCTCATCAAGGAATTTCTTTGGATTTAAATGCACATCTGCATACATTTAAAATACATTTGGAATATCTACGCAAAAATTCTTAAATACAGCGGTAATAGATATTGCTAAGAAATTACATTTTAAAAAAAATTTATTGTACAGCTCACTAGAAAAATCTTTTGATTTAAATGCTTCAAATAAAAAAATAAATAAATAATTTACACGAGAAAATCAGGGAACGTACCTCTAGTTCACATGGATTCAACAGGACATTAGAAAAAGATCTATATTGCAATGAAATTTAAGGTATAATTATAAAATGTAGGGCAGATTTGTTGAATCATAGCCATAAATCATATGTGTGGTGATTAGTGGCCGTTAATCGATAATTATTCAGAAATCGTGAGATGCGGTCTGGAGTGATGTAGGTTTCAAAAAAACATTTTCTTTATCGTGCCAACGTTTCGATCTTTATTTTGATCATCTTCAGGGCTCAAAGTGTTCGTCTTCTGTGTAATTGTGCCATTCTTGTGTCGTGGTGAGAGTGCCCAATTACACAGAAGACAAACACTTTGAGCCCTGAAGATGATCTCAATAAAGATCGAAACGTGGGCACGATCACACCAGACCGCATCTCACGATTTCTGAATAATTATAAATCATATATTTAATCATCGTCACCTCCAGTCAATCCTATATGTGCATCCGCAAAGAACTTGAAAACAGTAAACATTTTATAGCGCTAGTGTTTAGAAAATTTAAAGTAATTATTTAGGAAAAAAATTGCCAGAATCAGAACTCATACAGCTTCTTAATAGAAAGGAATGCACAATTTTGTGTAAATATATAAAAGTAGTAACAAATTATAGGCATTTTTTAATCTCAGAGTTTAATTATTATATACATTACGATATACATATATATTATTGATTTTTATTTATTTTTTCTTTGTAGTTTTTATATTTTCTAATATATACAGTTTCCATCTAGCTTGTATGTATATTGTGTTTACTATAATTTTTGTTTATTTTTATTTTTTCTAGTTTATGAGTTTGTTTAATATGTCATAGAAAAAAATGTTATAGTTTTACGAAGCTAAGTAGTTAGAAGTTAGATAGTGATCACTTTTTTTTGTATTCGTGGAAATTAGGTTTTTTGACATCAAACTAATTAGTTCTATAACTATTTTTATTTTTATTTTATTTACTGTATTCTTACTTTTTTAAAAGTAACAACTCAGGTAAGTGGACACGATGTCAAATAAGTTTAGCAAGCCATGCTTTTTTTTAAATTGCAATTATACACGTAGAATATCACCAAATCGTTAATATTAGTCACTTGTAGAATTTTTCTACCTAGGTTTAAAATTTAAGTCTCATTATAACTTATTGAAAGTCTAGTGACTAGTCTAATCCTCTCAATAAAAAAGTAAATAAATACATACTAAACAAAAAGTAAATACAGTACATAAAAAACGAATTAAACGTTATAAAGGTTGTTTTTTCCGTGTTCATCTGGAGAAATGCAAATTGAAGGAGTTCAAATAACCCCGTTAAGGTCAGGTTCGACGATTTCAAAACTATTTAACTCCGCATTCATTTCCCTTGTTCGCCGACGCTTGTTATTTATTTACTTTTTTATTTTTAATTTCAGGCAACCCGCAACTCGGCGTTCTGCCGCTGGACCCGTTGAGGTTCGACCGTCTGATCCTGGATCAAGGATCTGGCCCAGTGAGCATCAAGTTGGACTTCAGAAACCTCGACCTGATCGGCATCAGCTCGGCCAAAGTTGAAAAAATGAAGTGCGTACAAAGTTTTTTGTTTATTTTATTTTTTTCTAATCACGTATGAAATAGTAATGCAAGTTATTCTACTTATTTGTTAGGCATTATACTCAATACAAAAATGTTATGAGCAGATAGGCCATTCTTCAGGAAATCCTGTTGACGTACCGTAAATTTCTCATGCATCTTCTCTATGCCCAAGATCGAATTCGCATGGCAAGCAATGCCTTAAACGAATTTTATCTGCTTCCATGTCATACGCGACTCAGTTTAATCTAGGCTGATTTTTGGCAATAACTTACAACAACAATAACTACTCCTTATCGGGGCGACGGTGGCCGCAACGGTTTAGGCGTTGACACGGCGCTCATCACTGTAAGGTAAAGGTCCCGGGTTCGAATCCTGCGGCCCTGCATTCGAGCCCGACATACTTACAAATGGGCTTTTTTTTCAAAAACACTGGCACCCCGAGGTTTGATTTAACCTCTGTTGTTGAGAACTCTCGTAAGAAAAAAAAATAAAATAAAATAATAACTACTCCTTTTTTAACTACCTATACCAATGGAGCTTTTCCCACCCTAGAGCAAACTGCTCTCTCAGGTAATAAAAGATCGCCCTTTATAAGAGAGAAGAGTGAAATTTTAAAAATCCGAAAAACTTATGCACTGGGCTTAACAACTTTGACCATAATCCTAACCATCCTTTCCAAATAAAAGAAAAATCATTTAAGAATAGTTATTAATCACTCAACGTAATATTATGTAGTTTTTAAAGACCTATCTTATTTGGGCAAATATGGAATACAAAATATTTCAGCCACAAACCTTGGGTTTTAATTTTCTTTTAGTTTTTGGTACTCTACTGTTTATTAAAATTAAACTATTAGACAAATTGAACAACAACCTGTGGGACGTCTTTAGTTTAGCTCTCAAGTAGCTCTTGGTGAGGGCTGAACAGCTCAGACTTAAACATTAAGGAAGAAGTTTGATGTATTTTGGATTATTTATTTTTTTAAATGCATATTTAACTTCTTATCCGACGCCACTTATCTGTTAAGCAATGGTCTGAATGAAAATCACCAACTTTTTTTGCGTTGTCTTTCACCTTGGGTTTGCCATCATGACTGTTACCTGACATCAGAGTAAAGCTGATAGCTTAATTTTGCCTCCTTGCCAATCTTAGATAACTTTTCCAATAAAACTAGTTTTAGTACCTACTAATAAATTCTAGTTTTGTGTAGTTCTCATGTGGTTTTTTGACAGTTTAAATAGAGATCTTGAAAAAATATTACAGTTATTTTGATCTCTGTGAAAACATTGTGATCGCTTGTAACTCACTGGGATTTTATTTCAATTATAACGATATTTTGCAATGTGTATTGTGAAAAGAAGAATATAATTCGAAAATTCCCGAAATAAATTGGTCTGAAACTTTAAAATTTACAAGCTTTGATTCTCGAGAACTCCCTTGGAAACCTCGTGTTTCTTCATCCCAGTTTTGAATATGAAATCTCCTCTTCTGTCCCTCTTAGCTCATAGAACATACTCAAGAAGGAACCGTCCTTATTTTGAGAAGCACGTTCTCCAGAAATTTAAATACAGGATGACGCCACGTCTGTTTTTTAGACACAACCGGACCCAGTTGAAACAATGCTCGTTTGCAAATGCTTAAGAAACCGTTTCCCAACGGCGTGGAAGAGGTTGAAAAAAAGTTCAAATACCGATGCAAGAATTATACAATCGACGGAGACGAGAGTTGGTCAAGAAGTTTATTCTACAATAATAAAGTAATAACTAACCGGAGTTAAGTAAGGTGGATTCGGAAACTTCCCTTTTTGACCTAGGCCTAGGCGAGATTAATTTCGAACCGTAGTTCGACCGTTTCGCAACCAGTAAAAAAAAGTCAATGGGCAAATGGACCAGACGTGATTACAGGGAGACGATTGATAAATCCAGTACTCTTCCAGATTATAATCGGGAGGCTCGTAGTTTCAAGACGTTTCTCAAACCTCCTCCTGACAGCTTTTCGCAACGTGTGTGAATGCCGACATTCCAGCGCGGTGTTTATGTTTTGAGAGTTTGAAAGCGTCGTGTACCCTTTAAAAAGCTCCGTCTCGCCGCAACATCAGAATGAATTTCCACTTTACTGCATATCATAAATGTACTAAAAACAATAAAAAATACTTTAATATGGGAAATAATTAGCAAAACAATTTATGAACACAACCGCAAAAAAAACTTACAGAGTTGTCAAAGCATTATATAAAGTAAATATAGTCCTTAAATTTATTGTTTCAATTTAGACCACCATCAATGTAATATGTATAAGCGTGCTGCATAAGTATAATATAATATTTTCCAAAATAATAAGACCTACTTAAACAAGAACACTATTACATAGAGATAATGCAAATTGAAAGATAGATATATTGCTATAAAGAGATAGAGTGAAAAAATTAAAATAGTTTTGAGAGGCAATGAGAGTGAGGGGGAAAGAATGTGTGTGATATATGAACGATAGACCGAAATAGACATGCACAATGAGGGAGAGTTAGAAATATATAGATATATGGAGAAAAACCTTTGACAAACATTTTCACAACATTAATAAGAAAACACGCCCTAAAATTGTTTATTGGTTTGATTGGCAATACATGACAGGGGAAGTTGCAGACATGATATGAAAAGTTGTTTTAATAGATAAATTTAGAGAGAAAGAAAATGAGGGTAAAAGAGGCACAGAGAGAAAGAAAGAGAGACAGTGTGTGAGAGAGAAAGTAGTAGAAAGAGGCCACCTTCAATTGTGAGATTGTACAATATTTTAACAAGACATACTACATGACACATGTGGATATTATGCAATTAGCAGATAAGACCGGGACAATCAAGACAACCACTTATTATAGAAAATTAAATAAGTAAGAATTATTTTAACTTAAAGAAACATTTTATTTCTTTTGGGTTGTAGGTATATACATGTTGTTTACGATTGTGAAATAACTAATAAAAGTAAACAACAATGCAAAAGTAACTACGGTTTATGCACATGAAGTTTGTATTCATTTTATGGAGTCATATTTTATATAGTACTCCTACAATAAATCACATAATAGTATACGTATTGAAAGTTTCTACAAATATTAATTAAAAATAGCAAACGTTATATAAACCTTGTATTATTCATACAAAAACTGGATACAATTGAGTGGGTCTGATTCGTGTTTGTAGTCACAGTAGGGGCAAAAAGTTCTCACGTAGTCAACACAGGCATTCAGATGTAATAAGCTCTCATTAGGTTATATTTTGTCCTATCCTTATTAGATCCGGTAATTCTGTGGAGGGAGTACAATTGAGGGGATCCAGTACGGGGTTATAGTCGCAATAGAGGCAAGAAATTCACAGGTAGTCAATACAGGCATTCTGTTTTGCTGGTATTGATTACATGTCATAAACTCACGTTAGGTGATATATCGTCCAGTTCGATCCGGTGAATATGGGAAGGGTTCAATTGAGAGGATCCAGTTCGAGGTTATAGTCGCAATAGAGGCAAGAAATTCTCAGGTAGTCAATACAGGCATTCAGTTTTGTGGGTGCTAATTAAATGTAGTAAGCCCACGTTAGGTGATATATCGTCCAATCATGTTCGATCCGGTGAATATGGGAAGGGTTCAATTGAGGGGATCCAGTACGTGGTTATAGTTGCAGTAGAGACAAGAAATTCTCAAAAAGTCCGTAGAGGCAATCAGTTTTGAGGGTAGTGATTAAATGTAGTAAGCCAACGTTAGGTGATATATCGTCCCATCCTTGTTCGATCCGGTTAATTTGGGGATAATTGCTAAGTCCAATCCATTTAAGGTCTAATTCGGTAGGTAGGTGTTACTCATTTCATCAGGTAGAGGCATCGACAGGTTCATAATGTTTAGTGTAAATTAATTAGCAAAACAATTTGGTACTAATAATTTTGACAAACCAATATATATAAAAGTTTTACAATAAATTTTGAAAAAAAATGTCGAAAAAAGATAAATAATTTTGAATTTTGATGTTTTTTAAAATTTAAAACATATTACTATGTTCTTCTCTTGGATCTATTCCCATGGATTCCAAATATTTTACTTCCTCGCTCCAAGTCCTGTCGATGCCTCGTTCTTCATCCAACTTCTTTCGAAGGCGGTATTCATTCAATTCTCTCCTCCAAAGAATGTATTTATATAATCTGTATCCGGTGTAACAAATTATTGCTGACCCACCGATTGCAGCTCCTATTTTGTATAGCGTAGACCGTTCGAACATCTTGTGGCTTAAAGTTTTATTTTTCTTTTAATGCCAATATCGTAACCATGGAGATCATCGAACTTTATTGTGTAAATTAATTTTGATTAAATTAAAACAAATGGTAGGTATAAAAGTGTTATGTGTCATAACTAAATAAAATATTTTGATTTTTCTGCACTAATGTATCAAACAAAAGATACACATAACGAAACCATACCTGAAAAACAGATGAAATTTCTGTATTTATTAAAAAAACCAAAGTATTAAAAAAATCAGTCAAAACAATTGGATTAATGATTTGTAAACCTCTCGAGACAAAGCATGAAAAAATATAGGTCGCACTAGAAGAAAATTAAAAGCCAGGAGCAACGAGCATAAAAGTCCAAACAGCGTAATTCACCTCCACAGTCACTATGAACTCTCAGCAGTACAGACCAACTTAAAATTTCATGTACAGAAAGGATACAAAATATACAACCTTGAAAACCTATAAACCATACACTGAACAAACCGAAAAACCCAAACTAAAAAACTTTTTTTACAAAATACATGATAGATGATTAAATAAAAGGATATCACCGATCTCCTTTTATGTTTTTCGACAAGCGTATAAAAGACTGATGAACGTACTGTAAAAACCACACTGTCTTACGACTGACGATGGCGTGAAATCGAATCGGCCTTCAAGACGAAAACTTGTGTAGTAGGCAGACTAAAATGATAGTAAACGACTAATGATTCATCACTCCTTCCTTGCTTACAGAAAAACACTGATTGGGTTTTGAATTTGGAACTTGGAGAACAATTATGTTAATATTTTACCTGAAAAATATCCTTTTAAAGCGACATGTCAAGTAAATTAATTGTTTTCTTTATAATTTTCAGAGCCGACTGGGCAAATTATAATTTAGAGGCTGAAGTGACATTCGGCAAGAAAATCATGCTGTTGGGCGACTACACTATCTCAGGAAAAGTTCTCGTTCTCCCGATTACCGGGGCCGGAAAGTGCAACTTGACCTTCGGTAAGTTCCACGCCGGATTTCCTTTTCTTTACTCATAAAGATCCTCCGGATAACGGAAATGATCCGGTAAATTGTGCAAGACAGAAAAATTTATTCTTGAAGCTAAAAAGGTGTTGTTGCCAAAATTTGAAGTTGAAAGACAAACTTTTGGTATGACAGTGGTATTGGCTGATATTTCTTGATATGTATTGTGTTTATCATTCGCCGTTTATGTTCTGTAGATAACTTTGTCGCAAAGTTGGCCGCCAAAGGCCGCGAAGTTGTGAAAGGCAACCAGAAGTACATGCAAGTGGACAAGTTCACCGTCGCAATCGAAACGTCGCGGCTCCACGTTTACCTCGCCAATTTGTTCAACGGTGACAAAACTTTAGGTGAGTCGGATAAATAGTATCAATTTTTATTTTTAATCGAAAATCTTGCAATGAGGAAAAAACTACCGGTTAGATTAGAAAAAAATCTGCCCTGGTTCGCAAGTACTACCCCTTACTTCTATTTCAAAACCTACGCCGGTTTTGTGCGTCCTCGAAGGTCTTTTCCAGACTTTCTTATTAACTTCTAAATTTAGAGAAGTTGTGAAAACCCAAGTAAATTAAAATGAATCGTGTAACTGTGTGGATAAACACTGAAATTACTTAATAAAAACAAATCCACACCCATAAATGCTAAATCAAAAAATAAATTAATTAACTTTAAAGGCATATTTAAGTTTGCAAAGTTGTCAAAATAGTACTGAAGAATACTGGTATGCTCGGTCAATTTGATTTAGTTTTTTGTTTTTTTCTAGTCCCTCTGATTGTATTACAAATACTTATCATTAATGACACTTTCTTTAAAACAAGATATGAACAAGAAAAGCGCAATACTCTTTGAGCAGCAAAAATAATTCAAAAGCCCAAGTTGAATGATGAAGCTATGAAATCAGCTTTAGAGTATGGTGTCAGTATGTCCAAATTGGACTACCTTTTTAATGAGTTTTGCTGTTCAAAGAGTTTTGAGCTTTTCTTGATCATATCTTGTTTTAAAGAAAGTGTCATTAATGATAATTTTTGTAATACAATCGGAGATACAAAAGGACCTGCAGTTACTATTTCAAAATATTTTTGACTAGAGCATCAGAGTATCTGTCCAAACGTAGTGGGTTCATGTTCATATCTGACTTTTTATCACTTCTACTATCATAAACTTATCTCCATACATATGTTTATCAAGAATTAGAGTAAACAAAGGTTTACTACTTGAATAGGTTCAAAAAAATTTCTAAACTGACCTAAGAATACATATGATGATTGAACTTTTAACAATGAAGTCACAGCAAAATAATTCTCATTGCTTATCTATTTACATTCATGATTTTCTTTACAATTTGACATTTACCATGATCTTTCAATGAAGATTGCGAATTATCTTTTCCTTAGTAAAAATAGCTATTATTTATTTTAAATGTTTGTTGTTAACATTAATGTGTTTTTTCCAGGAAACCAAATGAACATCTTTTTAAATGAAAACTGGCAGGATATTCTGAAAGAGCTCAAGCCCACCATCTCAAGTGCTTTTGGAGCTGCATTCAAAGAGATTGCAAACCGGGTGTTTTCAAAGATCCCAATTAATCAAATTGCACCGATGTAATGCAAAGTGATACAACCAAAGACTATGTGTATAGTGATTATCGAGTAATTATTTCTGTGTGATTTTTTTCTAAATAAAAGTGTTGTTTTTTCTTTTTATTTATTTGTTTTTTATTGATTTCATATTTGTTTTATGGTGTTGAAACAAATGCTTGAAGGTGAATGAAAGAAAGTGCAATTAACTTTTGAAGAATAAATGATTGTCGTTTTTCTTCAGTTCTTGGTATATAGAATAGCAAAGAACGTGATTTTTGGTTTAAGATAGTATTCTAATATTGTATGGTTATAAAAATAAAAAAGATGGTTATGCAGGGTGTCACAGAGTGACTCCTGAAAAACTTTGCCCCAAATGCCTTCATTCTATTCTAGAATCCCAGTTTAGATAGTAGTTAGGACTTAGGTAGTTCTGTATGTCATCACAGCCTCCTTGAGCTGAAGGAATACAGTGTAGTACAAGCATTCGATAAAGTATAGCACAATGGACTGCTATATAAGTTCAAGGACATCAACCATCTTATCCTCAAATCGTACGTTTCCAACATATGTTCAGATTTGTGGGGCAATGCATCTTCTTTTATCTGGTCCTAACCTCTTCCCAATGATGACCCATGATATCCCTACTATCCTGCAAGAGTTACATCTACATTTGCTGATGACTCAGCTAGCCTCCCCCCCATTCTGATATTGTCATTACCCAAAGAGACCCTCAGCCCCACATTTCTTTGCTGAAGGAGTTGTACAAAAAATAAAATAAGTATTTAACCTTCACACTTTGATGAACAACACCCATCATCCCTCGGACAATACTCTTATTATCTTGGTCTATTTCTAGACAGGCAACTAACATGGAAGTCAGACAAAAAAGACCAGAACTAAAACAATACTACTCGCCAGTCTACTGTTCAAACGTATTTATATTGCGATGAAATTCATACGGGATTATCCGGAAACCAACTCACACAATCCTTGCAAATTACAACAAAATCCTTCTAATTGTTTTGGAGATACGTATAGGAATTTATGTTTGTGCATGTGCAGGTGATAACATTAATCAGATTGGGATGAAATTCATAAATCATAGGGTACCAATCCTGCACAATCAATGAAAATTTCATAAAACTTATCTCATGGTACGGACATTTGCCAAGTACAAGGAATAGACCACAGACACAGACGCAAATTTGTTCAGAAAGGTGTCTGAAACAAAAACGAATGGAAATTTTGATTTTTGAGGGTAACAATTTTTTCGAGTTCCACATGAATACAGAACGCTTCCCTCTACCTTCAATAGTTCGAAAGCAAATAATTGAGCTGTTCAGTTTGATTCTATAACTCATATAAGACTTAAGCTCACCTAAGTCCTCCATATTATAAGTACATTGTGATATTTATGAATAAAGGGATTGGAAATTTAATTTTTTTTTAAACAAATTAGGAAATAATAAGTTTAGTTTTATAGTATTCTATTGCATGCAATTTCATAAATTTTTTACAAGTGTAAATATGGTTATATAGGGTGTACCTAGAGTAGATTTATAATTGGTATAAAAGCTAAAAGCTAACATTGCTTGAATGTTAGCAAATTCATAAAATATAACTGTAAGTCTAAGATTTTCCATTTTCTATCAAAATTAAAAATAAACTTCCTTTTTTCTTTTTGATTAACTTTTTTGGAGAAAGAAAAAACAGTTTAAAAAGAAATATTTTATTTTTCACTGAGTTTCAAACAAATGACCAGATAAAAACGAATTATAAATTAACCTATTGGTCTCTTGGGCCAATGGTCAGTGGCTAAAATCTTATTCCTTCCATCGACTATCATTTTCAGTTCATTTTTGTACGGTTCCAGGTATACATTTATCCACTCTTTGGTGGTTGCATTATTGTAGACCTCATCCATGGCCATCTCTATGGAAGTCTCAAGTTCCATTAATTCCATGTACAAGCTTAAAATTTCTTTACTTATTTCTTCAACCTGAAAAATATTATTGTTTGGTAAAAAAAATAAAAATAAAATAAATCAAAATAAATTTAAAAAAAAAAGAAAATGTTTCATACGTACATGAGATGGATTTGAAAACGCGTTGTCCAGGTTATAACTGGTCATCCACCCTTTGAAGATCGAATGATTCTTTGCAAGTTTAATCCTGTATATGAGCTGAGAAAACTTGGCAATTTCCTCATGCAGGCTGTTCCCAGGGAAAGAGCAGCGTTTATCCCCATAAATGAAAACGGAACAGCCAGTGATTTTTTGCACATGCACTGACAGCTCAGAAAGAGCTACAAATTTGTTTTGATTTAATTCCACAGCACTCCTTTTGGCGAATTTTAAAAAACTTTTGTGCACCAATGATTCAACTATTAAATTAAATTTGTGTATCGTCTTCTGCTTTCATCATGCAACACAAAATAAGTTGAACCTTAAGAAAAATAAGAAAAGAAAAAGCCTAAAATAAAAATTATGCTAAACGCCTTTCTTTGTTATTACAAATATATATTAACAAATAAAGATAAAGTAATCAAAAAGCATTCAACCTAAACAGGTAGATTACATAAAAGGTATTTACTTTTAATGTTAGAAGACAAATACATAATGTTTATTGCTAGGGACGGAATTGCGACAGGCAGGAGCTCGCAGAGTATTGAGAAGTGGTCAAACCTTTGCCAACCTGTGAGAATCCCTCCCTTAAAGTTGACATCATTAGAGTACATTGCTATAACCGACTTCCACGACCTATGAATGTCGAAATAATACTCTAGAACAAAGAAAAAAAAATGAAAATATCTGAATTAAAATATTTACACTAAACCTGAACTGACCCACAGGGCTGATCATCGTGTCTGGAAATTTGGCACCTTTAAAGGCCGAACCAAACCAGACATTTGGAAAAATAATTTTGTACTTGTCCCACAGGTCGCCGGTCAGATAGGCCTCTACATCTGTGGTGTATTTCCAGATGACGGGTTCAACAAGATCGCCAATCTTCCAGGAGGAGAGCTGAGTTAGAGATATCGATCTCATCTGGTCATCCCAAATCAAAGGAGTGACACCAGGGTAAACCGTCCTAATATATCTTCAAACCAAAATTATTTTGTTATGATCGTATTTAATAAATTAAAAATACTATATTAAATCACAAATTTTTTTCATTAATAATGTCACAGTTTTTATGTACTACTAAGTATTTTGAATACACAAATGATATTGATATATTAACAAAATGTAATACAATTTTAACAAGTAAAAGTACAATTTGTACCAAAGCATAGTTTAAAAGCTGACTCCAGCTACTTGTGCCAAATGACTTTCAACATAAATTGCAACATTCAAGGGCATTGGATTGTGTCACTATCAATCAAGTTTCTAATTAATATAATAACTTTCTCAAAGAATTTCAGAATTTAATTGTTTAAAATTCAATTTAAAAACAATTGAACAAAAAGAAAAATAAAGTTTCCAAAATTTTGTTAAAAAGCAAAAAAATAAAATAACCCAAAATAATATATTTCAATAATTTTAGCAAATTGTGGGTAATATTAAAGCACAAAAGCTTGTTAGGTTGATTGCCATAAAGGAAAAAAAAATTAAAAACAGTTATTACGTTGCAAGGGTTGTGACATGAGCAAGAAATAAATCTTCATTGTTCCACTTATTGTTGTAGTTTCTAACTTTACAATCATTGCATTCACCAATTTGGTATACTTCATCACAGCCGATGTGCAGGTACTCAATGTATCCTTTGTGCATTAGCATCACGTCATCTATCATATTTTTCAAAACTTCCAAGGATTGCTCTTTAGAAGGGCAGATGGCCTGTAAAATGAAACACTTTTCCTTTAAAGAACTGACATTTAAAATAAAAATGAAAATATATATATAAAAAAGAAATTAAGAGTCACCTGTGGATATTTGTTCACTTCTCTCAGGTGCATGTATTTTTCGAGCTTGAGGACGAACTCGAGGTGACCAAAGGTCTGTATCAACGGGATGATTTCAAGCGAGCTCTTGTTGGCCATCGTTAAGATATCAGCGATATCGTTCTTGCTGTAGGCATTCTTGGCAGACACGTCTAACGACGTATAAGGGAACATGTCCTCATATTCTATCAAGATGCCAGTCGCGCCCAGCTTCTTGATGTATGGAAAGAACCATGATAAATATGAAATCTTAGGGGCTGCTCCTTTAAGGTCCAAGTGAACTATCTTGTGGCCCAAGAAAGGCTTGGAAATATCCAATTCATCTGGAAAGAATCAGAAATCAATTATAAATAGAACAGCTATTAATATTGTGGATATGCTGTTGTCTCCTTTTACAGTGATTTGAACTTAAATATTTGAAAAGTAAAGCTTGTGGAGCAATTTTTGTCTTTGTTTATTGGAGTCAAAGATTAGTGTTTTTTTATTAATGTGTTTACCATGCCCCCCATCTTGTCACAATCACATAAAAACTGAACAATACAAATTCAGTTTCACAAAACACCAATATACCACAAGAAAAAAAAACAACCAAAGGTTCTCACTTTTTATTTATATCTATTTATATATATTTATTTTTTCAAACAACGTATGTTTTGTAATACACTCAGGCCCTGAAGATGACCTGAATAAAGGTTGAAGTATTTGCAAAAAATGAAAAAGGTGTTTTTCTAAACTACCACATTTCTGACCACTCCTCACGAATACAACAAATTATTAAGGTGTTTTTTATTAAGTTCAATCTTTATTAACCAACCTTCATAAATGGTTTTACATAATTGAAATGCGATCAGTAATAACTTCACTTAACTAGCCCGATTTTTGTGTTTTTCTTTTCAAATAATGCAATCTTAGTAATTTGCATAGTTTTAGCTTATGGATACACATGTCACACTGTGTGAGACAAACCCATTAATGTTGTTTTGTTTATTCACTTTGGGATTTAAACCAGTGAGAGAAAGCCCTCCGCCCGAGTAAGACGCTCCATTTAATAATTGGTCCTGTGTGTAAAACAAAATGCTATTCCATCAACTGTCATTAAATTTTAATTTCATACTTATCTTAAGATTGAAAACGGAAAAACCAGTGGGTTAAATTGTTATTTTTTCTCTACATTTTATTAGTTTTGTTTTTTATCTTGTTTAAAAGCCTCACTTTTATTTCATAATATTTAAACTATTAAAATACTTTTCTAAAGATATAAAATTTTAATCTTGTGTATTTCATCTCTTTAATTCGAATATTTCAAAATGTTATCCATTATAACAAATAAAGGTCAATTTTATTGTTAAAGGTAAAATCAATAAAAGAAGGTATCTGCCAAATTTTAAAAATTATAGTCAGACCGATTGAGGGATTTCCACTGGGACCTAGACAAAGTCTGTATGTTGAGCCCAACCCTTCCTTAAAACAATTACTAGTTAATTGTGACACACAAAACTCATCTTCTGACTCAACAGTTGGACATGATTAGTTCACAGTTATTATATGTGAGATTTATTTATGAAGCCTGCTTATTGAACCTATAGTTTGGTCTAATCCAATTTGTTCACTTGTTTCATATTAACATTTTTGTAGGACCCAGCACTGAAAATTGATAAATGGTAAAATGTGCCTGGACAAACCAAAATCTGCCAAGGCTAGGAAAACCAACCTGATCAGAATCGACCTACAGTCATTAATGTTTTTAAAAAAAATTGAAATTAGATCAGTAATAACTTCACTTAACTGCCCCGATTTGTATTCTGGAGTCTGTATGTTTATCTCTCCAAATTATGCAATCTTGCTGATCCAATTTGTATAGTTTTAGCTTATGGATAAACAAAACTCATCTTCTGACTCAAATGACTGACAGTTGGACCTGATTAGTTCACAGTTATTAAATGTGAGATTTATTTATGAGGCCTGCTTACTGAACCTATTGTTTGTTCGATTTTGATTTGTCTACTTGCTTCATATTAATTTTTTTGACAGACCCAGCAGTGAAAATTGATAAATGGTAAAATATGTCTGATAAACCAAAACCTGGCAAGGATAGGAAAACCAACCTGATCAGAATTGACCAAACTACAGTCATTAATGTTTTTAAACAAAATTGAAATTAGATAAGTAATAACTTCACTTAACGACCCCGATTTATATTCTGGAGTCTGTATGTTTATCTCTCCAAATTATGCAATCTTGCTAATCCAATTTGTGTAGTTTTAGCTTATAGATAAACAAAACTGATCTTTTGACTCGACAGTTGGACCTGATTAGTTCATTGTTATTAAATGTGAGATTTATTTATGAGGCCTGCTTACTGAACCTATAGTTTGGTCGATTTTGATTTGTCTACTTGCTTCATATTAATTTTTTTGACAGACCCAGCAGTGAAAATTGATAAATGGTAAAAATGTGCCTGGATAAATCAAAACCTGCCTATGATAGGAAAACTAAACTAAATCGACCAAACTACAGTCATTAATGTTTCTAAAATTAAAATGAGATTCCTGATAACTTCACTTAACTACCCCAATTTATATTCTTGAATCTGTATGTTTTTCTATCAAAAGTATGTAACATTGATGATCCAATTTATCTATTTTTAGCTTGTGGATACACAAAACTCATCTTTTGACTCGACAGTTGGACCTGATTAGTTCAATGTTATTAAATGTGAGATTTATTTATGAGGCCTGCTTATTGAACCTATAGTTTGGTCGATTCCAATTTGTTCACTTGTTTCATATTAATTTTTTTGTTGGACCCAGCACTGAAAATTGATAAATGGTAAAAATGTGCCTGGATAAATCAAAACCTGCCTATGATAGGAAAACTAAACTATCGGAATCAACCAAACTAGTCATTAATGTTTCTACAAAATTAAAATGAGATCCCTGATAACTTCACTGAACTACCCCAATTTATATTCTGGAATCTGTGTTTTTCTCTCGAAAGTATGTAACATTGATGATCCAATTTATCTATTTTTAGCTTGTGGATACACAAAACTCATCTTTTGACTCAACAGTTGGACCTGATTAGTTCAGTGTTTTTAAATGTGGGATTTATTTATGAGGCTTACTTACTGAACTAATAGTTTGGTCGATTTTGATTTGTCTACTTGCTTCATATTAATGTTTTGAAAGACCCAGCACTGAAAATTGATAAATGGTAAAATGTGCCTGATAAACCAAAACCTGCCAAGGCTAGGAAAACCAAACTATCGGAATCGAATAAACTACAGTCATTAATGTTTCTACAAAATTGACAAGAGATCAGAAAATTATTAAATAATATTCTGAATCTGCTGGGTTTTACCTTCAACTTATGCAATTTTGGCTATTCAATTCGTATATTTTTTGCATGGAGACACATAAAAGAGCTCATTTGAAGTGCTTGACAGATGGACCTGATTGAGTAAGTAGAGAGCTCAATTGGAAGAGTTAAACCTGACAGGCTACTTTTTTATGTCGTCATGATTTTGTACATGTGTTCATGTAACAGTGTGATAAACTAAAATCGGCAGAGTGCATCATCACTCTGAGCAGACAGCATACCTGCGCCCGTATCTTCCTTGCCGTTGACCTGACGATCAGCGTTGAACCTGGCATCACGTTGAGATTCCCAGGTCATCCTCTTGTAGAGAATCACAGCCGTAATTGTCACCGTCAGGAGGGCGAAAAGAAATTGATATAGCCGTACACTTTTACATAACTTTCTGCCGTTTGCCATGAAATTCGAAGATCTGCAGAGCCTTTCAACCCGCCACCCGGCCCGGAATTAAATTCGCTGGGGTCGCCGACGTGGAATTTGTACTCGACGATATCTGGAAAACGTTATCCAGATGCCTGACAGTTGACAGCACGACAGCCTTGGTGCCTGACGGCTGACGCTTGGGGAGCAACGTCTCCAGCAGGAACTATTGAATTAAGCCACCCTTTTCCTTTTACGTCATGAGATACTAACTGTGCCCTTACTCACATCTAACTCATGAACGAACGGTTGTCAAACATTTTTTGCACTCAATGAGTCTCATTTTGAACGAATTTTCCACCGAAACATTCAACATGCTCTTAATTTCTTTTCTACTCTGATCAATTGCCACAATTTGCCCAATTGGCCAGTTAATTTGTCTTTAACAATTCTCTAATTAAACTGGAATTTCAAAATTATACTATGGAAAATTGTCTTCTAACTCTAACAAAAACTATCTCATAATGATCACCTGGAAATGGTTTATTTAATTTTTTTAATTTCAACTTCTGCACATAATCTCAAAACCCCTTGCTCCATTCAACATCAACAAAAATTGAACACAAAAATAAGTACAAATAAAAATAATTGAAGATCTCGCTTTTTTTATGGAAATTTCTCCAGTAGAAAGTATAAAAAATTGAAAAAACTTTTTTTTATTTTTTATACAATTTTTTTTTTCTTCAGTTGTTAAGTTGGTTCATTTTGAGAACCTTTCCACCTTCTCCTCAGTACATTTTTTTTTAATTTTTATTAATCAACATCAAAATCAATTACAATTAATTAAGGTTTTTAGTTGAGGTAAAAAGTCAATGGCACGAGCGGGATTCGAACCCACGATCTTCGGCTAGATTCCGCTTGACCAATTAATACATTACAATTAATTAAGGTTTTTAGTTGAGATAAAATAGGTTTTTAGTTGATAGGTCACGATAGCTCAAGTGGTAGAGCAGCGGCGTATCTAGCCGAAGATCGTGCGTTCGAATCCCGCTCGTGCCATTGACTTTTTTATCTCAACTAAAAACCTTAATTAATTGTAATATATTAATTGGTCAAGCGGATCACGAAATTAGTGAATTTAATCAAAATCAATTTTTTAAACATGCGTAATATTTTACACCAAAAAAACCCCTAAAAAAATAAAAATCAGAAAAGCTTTTGATGTTTTTATAATTTAGATTGATATATATTTAGCTAATTTAGTCTTTTTTTATTAATACTATTTTACTTACAACTAAGAAAAAAATTACATTGCCACATTGTGTCAGTAAACTGCCACAAAAAGGCCTTGGTGAACTATAAAAAAATTCCCAAAAGAGAAATAAATAATAAACACCCTAGGAGACGAATTGGATTCGTAAAACAACTCATCTTTTCAGGATTGTAATTTCTAACTCTAACATCTAACTCATGAACGGCTGTCAAACATTTTATGCATTCAATGAGTCTCATTTTGAACGAATTTTCCACCAAAACATTCAACATGCTCTTAATTTCTTTTCTCCTCTGATCAATTGCCATAATTTGCCCAATTGGCCAGTTAACTTCTCTTTAACAATTCTCTAATTAAACTGGAATTTTAAAATTATACCCTGGAAAATTATCTTCTTACTCTAACAAAAACTACCTCATAATGATCACCTGGAAATGGTTTATTTTATTTTTTTAATTTCAACTTCTGCACATAATCCCAAAATTCCTTGTTTCATTCCATGTCAAAAAAAATCGAACAGGCCTGCATGCAATACTCATTGGGGTTGATGGGTACTTATAAGAACACAAAAATAAGTACAAATAAAAAATTGATGTTCTTGCTTTTTTTCTGGAAATTTCTCATTTGGATTTTTAAAAAAATTTTAAGTAACATTTTTTTTTTTTTTTTGAGTTTTTAAGTTGGTTCATTTCGAGGCTCTGTCTGCCTCCTCCTCAGTACATTTTTCTAAAAATTTTATGAATCAACAACTTCAAAATCAACTTTTAAACATGCATAATATTTTACACAAAAAACTCTAAAAAGTAAAAATCAGAAAAGCTTATGATGTTTTTATAATTTAGATTGATATATATTTAGCTAATTTAGTCTTTTTTATCATACTATTTTATTTACAACAAAGAAAAAAATCACATTCCCACATTGTGTCAGTAAATTGTCACAAAAAGGCCTTGATAAATTATAAAAAAATCTCAAAAGCGAAATAAATCACAAAATCTGCATCCTAGGAGCAGAACTGGATTCATGAAACAACTCATGTTTTCAGGATTGTAATTTTAATGTCAATGTTTAATCAATCAAATTTTAAAATATGTTATATTCTTTTTCAATGACAATTTAAAAATTTAAAATAACAATTATAATTGTGATTTTTTTAGGTATATTTGTATGAAGCATTCTTTTAAGCTATTTTCTTATTTTACATACTGTTTAAAACTTAAAAAATTTTTTTTGTTTTCTTATTTTTGCTTTTATATTGTTATATTTTTTATATTGTATGTTTCTACATTTAAACATTTTTTTTTTTTTTAAATCGGATTAATATATATTATTATTAAGCACCATCTAGTGTTTTTAACACAAATTTATGGCACTTGTCAATTTTTTTTAAGGGACATCCGACAGCTTAGTCATTTCACCCCCAAGTGCATGCGAAATATTGCAACATACATTCAATACACATTCACACAAATAAATACATTCACACCTATATATATTGCATTCATTCTATTTGGTAGATGGAGTAATCATTATTCCTCCATTGACCAGCTTGCAATAACAAACTAATCTAATTGGGATCGATGGGGTACTTTATAAATATTCCACCATCGACCCAACTCACATACACAGCTCAAGGAGCAATGAAGATACTATTCCACCATCAGCCCCTCCCCATTCACTCTAATAAATACACTTACTCATACAAAACACATATTTTGACGGTTATATACAACAAAAAATCCCAATTCCCCTAAAAAGCAGAACAGAGGATCCTGAAACTCACTAAGTTTTGAAAACCATTCTTAAATCCGGCAGCATGCTCACATGGCTCTGTATGGAGCCAGGGCATGACATCCCTCTATTATGTCGGACACATCATGCAACCTTTCTCTACATAAGGGGCACCTGCACGGGGCTTTGGCCCAAACTTACCAATTATTGTACCACCACTTACGCAGTTATCTACTTATACCATTTAATACAATTTAATATCCATTCTTAGAAATGGTGACTGTCTATATGATCCCAAAAATACTATTTACAACAGATTACAAAAGAGGAGAATTCTGGTTGCAATTTTTTTTAGAGGTAGTAAAGAAATATTACATTAAAAATATAAATATATTTAGAATTTTTACATTGATGTCAAATCATGTCTTATTTCAAATTAATTAATTTGGAATCTAACATAAGACAAAAGTAACAAACTTTAACACTTTTACTTTTAACATTGAGCACTTTTGACTTGACTCGTTAATGACTAAGGATCTTAGAAAGACACATTCTTTCAATAAATACAAACTCACATTCACATTCAACAGAAACATTCTATAGCACACTAATTTTACTAAATAATAATTTACAAAGACAATAAATAAGTTCATTTCCTGGTCCATACTTCATCTATAAGTTACAAAAAAAAATCGCACCCACTTTTAACCCACCACCTAATGCTGTCTTTCCAATAATTCAGAATGCTTAGAATGAGGAGGACCATAAAGTTTTTAGCAGTAGGCAAATAATAAATAAATCTGCAAAAGTCCAATCACTTATTCTAAACATTCAACGGTTCAGAACGAACGCGAGTAGTATGCCCATGCCGACGGTGAACAATGCAACGAGCATTATGAACAGAACTATTTTGGTGACTGCTGCGCGACTTGATGTATTGAGGAGTGTTGAGGTTGTTGATGCAGTCGACCAGGATTCCCTGGTTGAAGTGGACGCCCACACAGGGAGGGAACACTGGGAAAGTTTGGTTGGGGACGTGTCTTTCATTCTGTCAGCAATGAGCACGATGGGTACAGGGCTAGGCAGTCTTTCATGTCCTGCCCATTCCGGGCGGCTTGTACGTATCGAAAATATCTTACAACAGCTGTATTAGCATACAATGGCTTCTGTAGTTCACTCGGATCCCTGAAAAATAAATACAAAAATGAGTTTTTTTTTTTTAAGTTTTAGTCATTCTACAAGGGGACTAAATATTCTAATCATTCTGGTATTATAGCTTAAGGATTTTTAAATTTATAATTCAAAGGTGTTGTCAATTTTAATCCTTTCATTTAATCCGGTCATTTCATATAATTTTGATTGAAACAAAAAATAAATTGAATAACGCACTCATATGCAGGGGTCATCCACCATCCAGCAACACAGGCAGACTAGCGGAAGGAGAATGGAAGCAACTGTTATCATTTTGTTTCCAGTGGAACGGTTATAGTGTCTTTTTCAGTTATGGGGATAAAAACCATTATATCTAGATACAATGGAAAAGTTTACATACCCTTGGCAATTGGAGCCAAGATGCCCTGCTTACCCACCATTGACCATGCCACCAGGCACAGGCAAAAATGTTTTATAAAACATGATGCACATGGTGCAGTCATTCTTGTAGATCTTATTTTTATTATATATGATTAAGCTGTACGTCAAGCAGATTTACAAAGAACGATTGTTGAGTTATAAAAAAATGGAGAATCCGCTGGAATGAAAGAAAAACATCTAAATTATATTCATGTAAAAAAAGACATCAGACCTTGGCCTGCTGAGGCTTGGTCCAGAAGGGAAAAGGTCATACTTATCAGGTTGCACATAGGACATACCAAGATCAAATACAGACACCTTCTAAAGGGGGGGGGGACCACATCAGTGTCCGCTGTGTGGAAAATTTACCACATTAGAGTAGAGCATATAATGAGCAAAGAGCAGCGCCACATCCTGAGGGGTGATTTAGAACCATGTGTGTTGTAACAGTGCTGAGAAATTGTAGAAATGTATTTTTCTAAAAAATGGGGTATGTTTCATCTTTTGGGAATTTTGATAGTTTTAGTTGTTAGTGGGTGTTGGTAATGCCCAACTTTGTACTGTTTTTTGTATGTTGAGGGAGGGGCTCTTCACCAGTAATTGCACACTATTTCTTCATTATGGTATAATGGCACAGTACTCATTTTAATGATTAAACATTAAATAATTATGTACAATTAGAACAATTTAATGAACTAAAGTGATTAGATAACTGGATTTATGCCATTTTATAATGTTATTATATTAAATTCGTAGTAACGTTTTTACTAATTTTACTATTGTAAAAAATAAAAAACGCAAAAATTTTTCGCCCGAACAGGGACTCGAACCCTGGACCCTTAGGTTAAAAGCCTAATGCTCTACCGACTGAGCTATCCGGGCACATGTTTCAAATTGTTAAAAAATTTAAAAAAAAGAAACAATTTTTGTAAATTTTGGGCATATTATGACGTAATATATATCGAGGGGAAATGTTTATTTACAATTTTCAGATGCAATGACCCCACTTTCACGAACGAGCAAACTTATTGGCCGGCGACCTGATGACGAGAGACGTCTCGTACCCCTACTTCCTATATTGATATCGTTTCTTTATTATTAATTTTATGTAAAAAGTGGCGAAAATAGACGGACCAAATAAAAAAAGTTGAACTATTAAAATTACTTCGTGGGCTGTTCAACAAATCCTTCAACATATGTCGAATTTCATTTTTTTTACGGGTAACTCGAACAAGTTGTCAGTTCTGTTACAATTTTTGTTATAAAAGCATTTTTCAAAAATAAAATATTCAGGAATAAACTTAATAAGCATTACTAATTTGTTTTTTGATTCCTTTCAACCATAAAAAAATATTTGTTAATATTATGCAATGATTATAATATTTGGTGCTATAATTTGCCTAACTCTGTCTAACCAGTTTTTTCTCTCTCTATAAACAGAAACAGACAGACAGACCAAAATGATTTTTAAAGTAACTTGGGATAGTGAAATTATCTTTAGGATACTACAAAAAAAAGTCTGAACTTTACCTTGAAATTTCGGCCGAGACGAGATTGCTATGTGGGCTGAATCTCTCAGGAGTCTTGTACATGCTACAGACCAGTCTTTCTTTACAAGGCTCGTCTGTGAAACCGAGCTCTGTGAAGACCCGGTCGAGTTTGTAGAGGATCGGCGAGTAAAAGGGGTCTTCAGGCAGTTGGTGCTGCGGCTGGGTGTACGGCTTGTGCCCAGTGTAGGGTACGTAGACCGCTTGTTGGTCCGGTTTGTTCGGCTGTGAAATAACAAATTATACGAATTGTTGACTGGTTGTATGGAGGAAGTTAGCGCAGAAAATTATGTTGCTTTAGAAAGAAATGCGATTATAACACAGACTTAAATTATTTTCATTTAGAACTTTTCAATGTTGGAAAATGCTTACAAAGTATATCGAACGAAGTATTCTCCGTCCAAATACAAAAATG